ATCGATCAAGATATGTGGGGTTTAACGTCCCAAAACCACCAAATGATTGTGAGAGACGCCGTAGTGGAGGGCCCTATTTGGACCACCTGAGGTTCTTTACCGTGCACCCAAATCTGAGCATGCGGGCCTACAGCGTTTCGCCTCCGTCGAAAATGCAGCCGGGATTCGATACCGGGACCTGCGGGTCAGCAGCCGAGTACCTTAGCCACTAGATCACAGCGGTAGGGCGACAAGTTTTAATTTAAGTATGAAGAGGCACTACAAAAGTTGGTTCTATGTCTATAGAGGAGAGGAGAACTGGAGAATATAGAAACAAACTCTTACTGTTTTCTCTTCGACTGTTTGAAAATCACCTGCACTTTGAGATCCGATATACTATTAACTTGCCAGTTAAAGGGTAAACCATTAAACTGGCTAATCAACAATATAGTGGATTTTGGAGAAAAACCCGCCAGAACAACAGCCCGCCATAGTGTTCTAGTGGCTAAGGCACTCGGCTGCTGACTCACAGGTCACAGGATCAAATCCCAGCAGCAGCGGCCGCACTTTTGGTGGAGGCGAAAATGCTTGAGGTCCGTGTGCTTAAATTTACGTGAAAAAGCCCCAGGTGGTTGAAATTTCCAGAGCCCTCCACTACGGAGTCTCTCATAGTCATATAGTGTTTTTGAGATGTTAAACCCCAGCAATTATTATATTAGAACAATACACATTTAAGCTGTACCCATTTGCTACTAAATTTAGCAATAGTCTAAAGCTGTTCTTTGACTAAACGTGCAGTTTTCATTGTTTCAGTTGGTTAGCATCTGCTACTGCGATTTCTATCACCAGAAAAAGCAGTTTATGAGAGAATTATGGGGCAAAGTAAACACATGGGCTGCCATAGATACTACTGTGGGGATCAATTAAGAATGCATGAGCTTCCTAAGAATGTGTCTAAACACCAACAACTTTTTGCTTTTTTTGTGTACCCACAAGTGGCTAAACTTGTGACTTCAGTCGCCTTGATCCAATATCAAATATCGTTAATCATCTTGCCAAATTAAATATTCAATTAATCCTGCCAAATTTTGCATTGCTAAAAAGTAAAAGCCACTTATGATTATGCTTCTGGATTTTCAGTGAAACAAACTTGAAGTGCACAAAAGAACAACGCTAATGGCCATCAAAGCCTATTAAACCCTTTACTGCCGAGTGTCGTCAATTCGTGAGACAAGCCGAAAAACTTTAAGCAAGCCAGTCACGCAATACGTGCTGCCGTTAATATTGGCCATCAAGCACTCACGATAAACATATCGTTCAGCATGAAAAATCTAGTACTGTCTCGTCTAATGTATTTTGTGCTAGAACCGATTGTTTTGTAGCTGATGGCGGAAAGTGCGTGCAATAGCTCTCACTTTATTTTTCTTTCTAGCCTGAATAATGTAAGTTCTATCTTAAATATTTTTTTAATTTGATGTGTACACACTCAAGAAGTGGAATAAGACATGTTACGTAGTTACTTTGTACGTTTCTTGTTGCAAGGTCCTCACTTCTATGACATATGGAGAATTCACAACATACATGAAAGTACGCATTAAACTTGCATTTTAGACCATTTAACTGCAGAACTATTTAAAGGTTGCTATTTAAAGCTGGAAAATTAAAACAATCTTAATTTTGTTTGGCACTTAAGCAATTCAGGCATTACAGAGATAACTTCAGGTAGCACAGCCAGCCTATTGTAAACAAAACTATCTGATTAGAGTGAAATAATGTTACTTGAGGATTTTCAAAGTGGCAGTAGTTAATAGCACATCTTCAGGCGTAGTGAAATAGAAACATTACAAGGTCCCCATTTACTACTTGTACATAAATGTCCGGTTCTATGCCTGAACTATTAATCATGCTACGCCACTTGACCAGTAATTTTGTCAAATGAGCATCCTCCCTCTATTGATCGTCTTTGAGTGAAGCAGAGCGCCCAGCACTTGCCATATGTTACCCATCTCTACTGTAGACTCATCTGATCAGATTGGTCAAGGAAAACTGTTATCAAGAAAGCACCAGTGAAGGTTTTGGGAGCCCAGCCTTGCGCATAAACTGTGCCTCTTAAACATGGTGACTTACACAATGATGTTGTTGATGGGGATGTGTATGAGCTTGACGAAAAAGCCAATGAATCCCATGATGGCAAAGCCAATAGCAGTGGCCATGGCGATCTTTTGGAACTCTGCGTGAGTGAAAAAATAGAAGGAACATCAGTGAAGCCATGCGAAAACGCGAGGAACAACATAAGACAAAATAAATCATCTATATATATATATATTTAATCAGACAGCATTTCAGCCTAAAGGAACACTGAAGAGAAAGATGCTTTTTCACTTATTAGTAAAGGACAATTTCACAATCTAAAAAACACCACGCCTACCACGACATGGCACTTTGTAAGCAAGAAAAGGCGCGAAAAAAAAAAAAAACTGCGGGTGGAGACTCCACACTGGGACTCCCACACCGAACACTGTGACGTCAGCAATTTTTTAAGGAGTCTACTGGGTCCAACGTAGCTTCTCATGAATAAAATTAAAGTAAATTGTCAGCGAGGGGTGACATAGACTTAGAATGCGAAGTTTTAGAACACTTAATCGAGTCAATGTCGCGAAAATACGAGAAGTACACTGTGGAATTTCTTAGGCCACACGTGGATATTACAGGGCCAAATTTTAAAGTGAAACTTCAGCCTTCATTCTCTCCGCTAATAATGAACTTATCGCAGTGAAACATATATCAGAGTTCTTGGAGTACAGTTTATCAATCTAAAACAACTCATTATTTCTCTACAGTGTCCCTTTAATGCCAGGAAGACATGATATCATGAAAGGTGCTTAGCGAAGTGCTAAAGATTCATGTGGGGTTGTCCTAGCGTGCGGTATGCGAGTTTTCGTATTCTGCCTTTTCTTGAAATGGTTGACCATGGTTTCACTTCCTACACGTGTTTACAGAGGCCAAACGTGAGAATGCCGAAGAGCTGAAACGCCTAAAAGACGAAATGCCGAATATATATAAAGCCGAAAACCACGCGAAATTTCGTCTATTCAGTGGGTAATTGACAAGGTGGTGTGGTGAGCTTTCCGAAGAGAAAAACTGACCTTATCTTCAGAGACTTATGTTTAAGTGTTTGACAAGAAAGTAGGTTCTAGACACTATTGGAAGCGTGAGAAACAAGGAGAATGCAACACCAGAGTGATTACCGACTTTCTTGTAGAATACTGCTACAGTAATCTCGAAGACAGTGATCCACGCAATCCATGCTTTTTGAGATAATCACCTACTTGAAAAAAGAGCAAACTTGGCTCGAAGACGTCGAGGGTGCGGTTAGAGACCAACAACACTGCTCACAGATCAAGAGCCAAGGATTACGCTGATATCGTTTGGCAGCTTCTCTGAGAAACCGGTACAATGTCAACGTTTCAAATCTTCGACAAGAAATGGGACACAACCTTCTTGTCTCAAATGCAATATTGCCGCACTTGGTATTTTGATGTGCTCGGCTTAAGCCCACAAAGACTGTGAGCAATACTAGGCGCAGGTCACGCCTCAGTGTTGGAGAAGCTTCACATTTGTGGTAGATAATTTGGTTAATATTACGCGCAGTACGCGAACACTCAAGATTATTCCAGAGCTTAAGCGACCACCAGTGATGAAGCTGGAAAGTTCCACACGTGATGTATAAAAGACGACGCGTCCCAACAATGACGACTTTATCTCCGACAGACACACTGTGCGCCAACATCAGAGTACAGCGAACATTGCTTGGTGTAATGTGACTGTCCCTTATGCAGCCACAAGTTGGGCCAAATAAAGAGTTTCACCGCCTACTGCTGCTTTCGTCACCTTCGTGACCACGTTACAATATACAAGAATCGCTCTGCTATGCTAATAATATATATTATTTTTGTAAGGCTTGGAACATAGGCGAAGGGAACACAAATGTTGGAAATGAGGACGGAAGCGTCTACTCATCGTACAGGGCCGGCAGAACATTTTCCTTGGCAAGACTCTCTATCTTCATGGTGATTCAGGAATTTTAACATTGCAGTATTTCAAATTTTCGGTTTTTCGTCAATTCAGCTTTTTGAAATCTCGTTGTTTCGAATTTCGGCGTTCCGATAATTCAGCATTTTGATTTGCGGCGTTCTGAATGCGACCCGTTCACAGGATCTCAGATCAACGTGTGCGACTTATCGAGATCATGTAGCCACGACTGCGAAGGAAGTGCCACTAGTGGTCGACAACTCTACTGGATTTTTTTCACGACCTACATGGGGGTAATCGTTATACACTTCAACGGCTACGTTGTGCCACTGCGGGCGATTCAGTATGTTCACCTGAGCGAAATAGGTTTCAATTAGTAATTTCAAAGATCGCAAACGGCATGACGAACCTTTGCGGTCCGGCTTCGTGCAACGCTTGATAAGCCGGATGGAGTCCTTCGACAGTTGCTTGAACGGGTCGATGAATGCCATAACCTGGTCCATGGCTTCCTGCGAGAGAAATCAACCAGTAATCTGTAAGTGCAAGAAAGTTTAGAAGGTAACCGTTGGCACAAGTACAACGCAAGTAATCGTTGCCATTAAGCCACCATCAGTCAACGAATGTAGGTGACCTTTTAAGTTTTTCCGTGAATCGCGATCTAGACTAAAAATTGACCCCGAAACTTCCACTAACTAAGTAAATTGCAGACATCTAACAACTAAAGCCTCCAGCCAGTTGGCAGTCTATTACCTTTGGATGTGTGCGCTCCGCAGGCGTCAGATAAACCTGAACCACACGACAAGCAACGTCAAATGCGCCGTCTCCTGGAACTACTGCGCTGGAAAGAACTCGCAAAACTTGCTTGAGGACGTACGCAATTTGTTGCGTTGGCACCACGAGTTACCTACTCTCGCATCCAGCGTCACGCCGCGTGACGTCATTGCAATGCATTGTGGGAGTCTTTCGGGAAGTCTTCGTTCGCGAGTAAAGCCGAAGTGCATTGTGGGTAAACGAGCCATGTTTTTGTGGTTGAATGTGGTGTAGTACACGAAAGAGTAGCAAACAAGATTCCGATTAATCCATTTGGTTTTTTCATGTGAAGACAGCTTGGTGGAATCGGTGACGAGCATCGAATACGTCGTGCAGACACCAGCGAGAGGAATTTTCTTCGCCATGTTTAGCCCGCTACGTGCTGTGCTCGGCGGTCGCGTTTTTGCTTTTGATCCGCAGATTTTGACCTCATAGTAGTATCACTTTAGGCCCAGGTGTTGTGTGTTAATTTGACACCGATTAATTTCACCTTCATGTGAAGTGCGCGACCCGGTGCTCGTCCGGACGCCCGTGTTTCAACTCCGACGTGAATCCCATGAGGCCTGAAGCCCAACGATGTCCGAGGTACGAGACTACCACACTTTGCTTCGTTTTACGTCTACGTATGAATAGGCTTAAGCTGTTTAAGCGAAGCATTTATAAGTAGGCCTATATTACGCATTAATGGAGATTACCTCGGCGGCTCGCTACTCAAATTTCGTCGAGTGGAGTAGCGCTGACAGCGCTGAGGCATCGTTGTCAGCACGTTGCGTAGGGTGACTGCGATGTGTTTGGGAGGCCCGCTGAAACGTAAACAGTGATTTTGCCGTTTAATGTAAGAGCGCCAAGGCGTAATCGCTTAAGCGCAACGAGTGTAACAGCGCCGACAGGCCTGTCGGCGCCGTGCTGGGGCTTGGTCCGTTTATTGATTGCAGTAGTGGGGGGGGGCAATAAAGCCCGAGGTTGGAGACCGTGTGCGCTGGGGCTGGTAGAGCGCGCGACGCGCACGACAGTAGCACATAGTAACCTTATCGAGAAGGGAGGGGGGTGCGCGCTTGTTTGGCGGCTGCCAACTGCGACCGTTTGACATTACCAGTTCGTCGCCTGACTCATTCGCGGCCAGCCTGAAGCTGGTTTCCCGCTTGGACGCGCACACTGATGCCGACATGTGGTGTTCGCGACGCTGTCCGAGCCGAGCGCATTTTCGCTTCTGCAGTTTTGGTTTCGTGGCGCCATGGCACACGCGTGCGTGTTTTTCGTTTTTTGTTAGCTTTACCTCGGTTTGCGCCAGCGGACAATGTGTACTATCCGCTCTTAACATTTAGCGAATGTTTTATTTCCCTTCGTTTCGAGATTTACGCCTCTGGCATTTGCATATTTTTTTTCCTCGTTCGCCTGATCGTGTCGCGAGTACTGTCAGCAGCGGAAGCGCCTTCTTTTTCCGCCGCGTAGCACAGCTGCGTTATTGGCACATCGCATTTTGAGTTCGGCTTGTGAGCTGCGGCGATGCAAGTACAAATGTAGAGGAAGGATAAGGGGGGGGGGGGGGCCTCACCTCTTCGCTGGGCTGACGTCAACTTTGTTGATTATACTCTTTGGCTAATTGCTAACCTTCTTGGTAAGCCATAGATCTTGTTCGTTGTTGACTCAACCGCTATTCCTTACCGTTTGTTGTTGTGAATGCCCTAAGTTACTCATCTTTTCTTTTTCGTACATATTTGTTCATCTAAGCTGCATTACCGTTTGCCTTGCCAGCGCTTGACAAACTCTGTGCCTGTCTTAAGCTTGTGGTGCAAAAGTTGCAGCTCGAAAATGTTTTTGGAATCTGTATGCTACCCTACACAAGGGAAATAGTTTCTCATAAGACAAATAGACAAACGCATGGCCTTTTCTCTTAAGCTGGTGCCCATGGTTGTAAGCAGGCATCAAAATACATACATTACATTTCATTTATTGAAGCCTTAAGGGCCCGAAGGCATTACATAAGCGGGGGTAAGCAATATATGACGGACTCTCAATCACACAAACGACGAAAAATGAAGAAAAGACGAAGAAAGGGAGAAAAAACATCTCTAAGAAAGGAATCAAGCAAGCAGAAAAGAAAAAAACAACTGCCGTAGACTAGAAATAAAACAATATACATAAGTGATCAGCATCATAATGCATGAGTCACTAAAAGTTGGTTACTAACATGGTTCAACTAGGAGTTCATTTCAATTGAGGTCAGATGCATTGTTATTTTTTTCGCGAAAAGTCGGGCGGTAGGTGGACCAAACAATACTGTTGGGGAGGGTTTTCCACAGGGTTATTGCATGGGGGGAAAAAATAATCTTTCATTGATGATGTGCGGCACTGAATGTGTGCGATATGTTTGCTGTGGTTGAGGCGTGGCGAGATTCGGGGCGGGGGTCGAAGTCGAGGGTGCCTGGCAAGTGGGTGATAATAGGAAGAGTGAAGCAAAGCAGAGACGCGAGATGATTCGACGTGATTGGAGACATGGGAAGTCAAGTGTGCGTTTGAGTTCAGTGATGCTAAATTTACGCGAGTAGTTTGACGTTATGAAGCGAGCAGCGCGATTCTGGATGGATTCTAATTCGTAGGTGAGATATGCTTGTGAGGGGTGCCAGATAGATGAAGCGTATTCCAATTTAGGTCGAACGTATGTCTGATATGCAAGTTTTTAAATAGCGGGTGACGCAGATCTGAGATTTCGACGCAAAAATCCAAGTGTGCACGAAGCATGTGCGCATATTGTTTCAATGTGAGCGAATGATAATGACGATATCAACTGAACGCCTAGATACTTATAGCAGTCTGTTCGAGTTATTTCATTTGAATTGATATAATATTCGTGAATAGTGGTGCTGCATTTACAAGAAAAGGACATGGATTGGCACTTAAGGTTAAGAGGCATGAGCCATTTTCCACACCATGCAGTGATAGTGTCCATGTCTTCCTGAATATTAGTGGAGTCGCTAGGCTTGTGAGTGGCATTGTAGATGACGCAGTCATCGGCGAAAAGTCGAAGTCTGGTTTTTGTGTTAGATGGCAGGTCATTGACGTAGATTAAAAATAATAGGGGGGATAAGCCTGCTCCCTGGGGGACACCGGATGTAACACTAGAAATTTGCGAGTCATGAGAGTTGGCAGTTGTGTATTGTACGCGTCCTTTTAAGAAATGTTCTATCCAAGTAATCAGTTTCGGGGGGATACCTAGACTAGATAATTTTGCAAGCAGGTGATTGTGTGGGACACGGTCGAAGGCCTTCGAGAAGTCGAGGAAGATGGCGTCAATTTGTAGATGATCGTCCATATGTTGCAAGATATCATCGATGAATTCTGAGAGCTGTGTTTCGCAAGATAATAGTTTTCTGAAACCATGCTGGTACACATAAAAGAAGTTAATTGATTCAAGGTAGTTCATTAAATTGGTTGCTATAATGTGTTCTAGCAGTTTGGATGGTATGCTGGTTAGCGAAATCGGGCGGTAATTAAGTGCTTTTGATCGGTCGCCAGACTTATGAATGGGAATGATTTGTGCCTTCTTCCAATTGTGGGGAACCTCACTAGTGCTTAGTGATTGTTGGAACAGTAAGGTTAGTATTGCACTTGACAGGTAAATTGTGTTTTTAAGTAGTTTGCTGCTGATTTGATCGCAACCGGCCGAGGAGGATAATTTGAGAGAGTTTATTAACTTAAATATTCCATCAACGTTGGTCTGGATATCGGGCATTCTGGTCGGCGAGTGGAGTGGTAACTGGGTAAAATTAAGGCTTTGAGCAGGTGAAAATACTGACGTAAAGAAGTCATTAAGGACTGCAGCACATTTATCAGTTTCGATTAATTTGTCGTCTAAGTTTGACAGCTGGAGTTGCGTTTGACGATTTGGCGGGGAGATAATTTGAAAGAATTTACGAGGGTTAGACTGTAGGATTTGTAAGAGGTCAGTTGAGAAGAATTTGTCTTTAGAGGCTTTTAGTTCCGTAATGTATTCATTAGCAGCCAATTTGTACTGATCCCAAACTATGGCATTATTAAGAAGTTTTGCTTTCCGATAAAGGCGTTTTTTCTTGTTGAGTAGGCGCTTGAGGCGTTGCGTAAACCACTGGTAATTTGTGTCTGTATTTACAAGGATAGTGGGAATATGTCTGTTTTTCAAGTTTAGCATCGTGTTTTTATATAATTCTCAATTGGTGTTGACCGAGCGGGCAGTGTATGACTGTCGGAAGTCGTCGCAGAAGAGTGCAATTTCGCGGCTAAATGCGTCGAAGTTAGCTTTCTTGTAATCAGTGATTAATTTTTGCGTTGGGGCGTTCTTTTTTATAGGCAGAGAAATGCTGATATGAAGGAGGCTATGGTCGCTTAGGGCAGGAAGCGGTCACATTTTTTATGTTTTCAGGGCTAGATGTTAATAAAAGATCTAGGGTGTTGTCGCCCCTTGAAGGGCATGTAACTGTTCGGTGCAGATTAAAGTCCAGAGTAAATTCAAGAAATTGTTTGGGCTCACTATATGGTGATTGGTTGGCTACTGAAAGTAACGACCAATTAATGCTGGGATGATTAAAGTCTCCGAAAAGGAAGATTGGTGCCTCGGGTATATCTTTTTTTTTATTTTTTCTAGAGAAAAACATAACTTCTCACAAAAGGAGGGACTACTGTCTGGTGGACGGCAACATATTCCAAACACTATTTTGCCAATTGTACTGTGCACGCATACCCATGTTAGTTCAATGTTGTCGTCGTGAGTGAATAGTGAGGATGATAAGCTGTCCCTAATGGCAATCAGTACTCCTCCACCTCGCCTGTCATGTTGATCACGTCGATATACTATTAGATTGGTGTTGGATGGAAAAACTTTGCAGTCACTAACGTCCTTGTTTAACCACGTTTCGGTTAACAAGACGATATCGGCTACGGTATCGTCTATGAAACTTTTGAGTGTCAGTCTACATAGTAATGGCTGAAGGCTGTGCATTTTATTGCATTAACTTATGGAAGGTAACTTGCAAGGGTTCGTTTTCTTTCGTTAGACACAACATTTATTATATCTAACAAATACATCAAGTAGTATTAGGCAGATCGCTTTCCTTGTGCTGAATTAGAGTAGTCATTACGATCTGAATGAGTACATTTTGTTGCCACTGCTTCTAGTATTTGTTCTTTTTCATTACTAGTCATCCCACACATTTATGCTTGAAAATGGTATAACTCTAGGTACCTCATAGCAGCGCATTTTTCCAAGTGGATCAAAGAGAAACTAAGAAGGAATTGCACAGTTCCCATGTATTGTCAAAGACTATTTTATGTGCATAATACACATCATTTACGCAGAAGGTGTATTGGTTGGTGCTGTTAATGTTATCCTGTATTATGGTTACTTTGTTAACACATATGGTTAAATAGCATGACATTGGCATGTTGCTGTGGTGAGTTGAAGTAGTCTAAACATGGTGAATCATTGATGCTACATTGACCAGGAATAGAGAACCGTGTTTGTTAATATTGAAAGGAAAATAAAGATAAAAACGATGTTTTTCATATCAGTAAACTCTTTCACAATTTTAAAATCATAATGCTTGCCACAA